CTGTATTTGACGTACCGTAAACTCTAGTGTGAAGGCGCACGACTCGCCGTCGCTTTGCTGATAGCGCTGTGTTTCTCACACATGCAAAGAGAGAGAGCGAGAGTCTCGCATACCACGCTGAATCGACGCACTACATGTAAACCATATAATTTGTTGTATTTTCCTGTCAAAATAACAGAGTTTATTTAGAATTATTCAGCTGTTAAGAACAAGCAGAAGATATGCCGGTCCTACTTAACCATATTTTGGGGACAAATTTGTACCCAAAAGTGAGCAAAACCTGACAAAATCGGCAAAAACCTCAATTTGTGGATGTCCTCATTTGTAAAACTGTTATAAAAATGTAATTGAATTTTACTTTTGAAATTATAAAAATGCAGAAAGTTTTCTGTGAGGGGTAGGGTTAGGGGTGGGTTTAGGTTAAAAAGTGTATAACTATCTGTATATAAAAACAATCGAAGTCTATGTAATGTCCCCATTTAGATAGCTAAGTAAACGTGTGTGTTTGTGTGTGTGTGTAAAATAGTATATCAGTCTGGCGAGTAAACAAAACAATTTACTAGCCAATGGCGATTATATTGCCAAGGTGTGCGTAGAGGGTTGTTAGGTATAAATGATTTCTTATGCTATGACTCCATCTAGTCCATCCAGCTTTAGTATTACAGTCTTCATCCATCAGTTGAAATGTCTGATAGTTTATAGTTCTGCATATGTAAAAAGTTTTGAGTAGTTTGAACAATGCATTTTAAAGATGTAAGACAATTCCTGTTTTCTTTTTTGCTGTTACTTTAATAAATCGCTATGGCAACACCGTTTGAGATATCTAAAAATACATTCATACATATAATACATCCTTAGTGTTTTTGTATCATATAGACAAAGTTTGGTGCGAATCGTATGATTACAATTGGTGTAGTATATAGGGGAAAAATATTAAAGTTTGAAGTGTAGCCATGGCAACAGTATTTAAAGGGGTCATATGATGCGTTTTCAAGTTTTCCTTTCTCTTTGGAGTGTTACAAGCTCTTGGTGCATGAAGAAGATCTGTAAAGTTGCAAAGACTAAAGTCTCAAATCCAAAGAGATATTCTTTATAAAAGTTAAGAGTCAGCCACACCTACCTAAAACGGCTCGTTCTAACACGCCCCCACATATCTACCTCACGATGTGGGAAGATTTGCATAACGCCACCCAAATGTTCACGCAAAGAAAGAAGGCGTAACTTTTATTCTCGCTGTAGTTTTGTTGTTTCCGCCGCCATGTCGTAAAGACGCTGTGTGCTTCGTTGTGAAAGCGAAACTACTTGGTTTGGTTTTCCAAAAGAGGGCGATATCTGCTTCGTCATGCCTGGAGCTGATCCGTGCTGGTCGATGAGGAAATACTACAACTTTGCGCTGTGGATCGCTGGATCGGCTTTCACCGTGGACGAAGCGGAGTCCAGCCCGGAGTCGTCACATGTCCTTCCGGACAGTCCTTCGTCAAAATCGCCGGCCGCGCCGTTCTCAAGCCCCCGCGCCTCTGCTCACTCTAACCCTCCGGCTGTTCCTCACTCTAGCCGCCGGCCTCTGCATCACAGTATGGTAGGGGCGTAACATTTCCGTCACACGCTTGAGGTATTCGGCCAATCACAACGCACTGGTTAGCTGGCCAATCAGAGCACACCTCGCTTTTTCAGACCGATGAGCTTTGTAAAAATCGACGCGTTTCAGAAAGGCGGGGCATAGAGGAGAAACAATAATGTACAGTATGTGGAAAATAATGTGTTTTTTGAACCTTAAACCGCATAAACACATTTCATTACACCAAATACACAAAATACTGTTCTTTTTAGCAACATCATATGACCCCTTTAAGATATCAAGAATCCCTTCACAGTTTTACATCTGCCATGTTTTGACATTATTCTAATGAATTTTTAAGCAAATGGACTGAAAATAAGAGGGTGATTTTAAAGCATTCTGAAAATGATGCCTCCTGCTGCCAGTTGTCGTTGTTGCATTTAAGCTTTGACTCATAATAGTCACATCTATGTGTCAGACTCATTCAACGAACAAACTGCTGAAGTTTAATCAAAATCAGACAATGTATGCTGAAGTTATAACACACTTCCTGTTTCTTCTTTTTTTGCTATACATTTGTTGCCCTCATTTGTTAGACCTACAGTACCATTGAAAAGTTTGATGATAAGTTTTATATTTAAAAAAAAGTCTTATGCTCGCCAATGCTGCATTTATCACTGATCATCAAAAATACAGTAAAACATTATTAAAATATTGTTAAATATAATTACAATTTAAAATAACTTTAACCAATTTATTCCTATGTTGGCAAAGCTAAATTTTCAGCAACCATTTTCCAGTCTTCAGTGTCACTTGATCATTAAGAAATCATTCTAATATACTGATTTGCTTATTATTATCAATGTTGAAAACTGTGATGCATTTTTAGTATTCTTTGAATAGAAAGTTAAAAAGAACAGGATTATTTTTTTTAATAGTAATATTTTTGTAACAATATAATAGTCTTAAAGGGGTCATATGATGCTAAAAAGAACATTATTTTGTGTATTTGGTGTAATGAAATGTGTTTATGCGGTTTAAGGTTAAAAAAACACATTATTTTCCACACACTGTACATTATGGAACAGTGTTGTAAATACAACTTAACCACTGATTTCTAGTCGTGTCCTCTTTTGGAAGGCCAAACAAAGTATTTTTTGCTTTCGCAACGAAACACACAGTGTCTTCACAACGTGGCGGTGGCGGTGGCAGCAACAATAAAGTTACGCCTTCTTTCTTTGCATGAACATTTGGGCGGCGTTATGCAAATCT